TTTGTATTTCTCATCGTCGGCCATTGTGTGTGTGGGGGCATCGAATGTCCCCCGCCATGAAAGGCGGCACCGACATCGAACTCAAACAACTCACCATGAAATTCTCCCACAGCATCCAGTTCAATGCCGTGCCGGACTGGGCCTCACACTACATCTCCTATTCCAACCTCAAGAAACTCATCTACCAGCTTGAAAAGCAGATTAACCAGGGCAGTGGTCAGCAGGTAGATGACCCCGAAAACGCCCCGTTGCTTTCATCCGTGGACGAGCCAGACAAGATCTTCTCGCAAAAGCTAGACGAAGAATTGAATAAAATATGTAAATTCTTCAAACGAAAGGAGGCGGAAGTTTACGACGAAGTCGACGCCTTGCTTGGCGACGTTGTCGGTTACGAGGCGGAACAGGCATCACATCCCAGCGAAGTGCGGGTAAGACGACAGAGTATCTTCCAAGCCTTTCGACGTGGGAGTACTGGGGATGGAAGCGATAACGATTCCGACGAGGAGGGCGGAGCGGCTGCGAAAACCTCGATTGCAGACCTTGGTGTCTGGAGCGAAAGCATCACCCTGAAGAAGAGGATCGTGAACCTCTACGTTGATATCTCAGATCTAAAGTCTTTTGTCTCGCTGAACCAGACGGGGTTTGGGAAGGTGTTGAAGAAGTACGACAAGACGCTCAATCGCCATCTAAAACCGGTGTATATGCGAGAAAAGGTTGCTCCTGCGTATCCTTTTACCGCAGAGATCATGGAGCGAGCAAAGGGTTATCTTGCCAGGATCGAAGATGCCTATGCACGTATTGCGACGCAGGGTGATGTTGAACTCGCCCGCCGAGAGCTGAGGCTTCATCTGCGCGAGCATGTCGTCTGGGAACGGAACACGGTCTGGAGGGAGATGATCAGCGTCGAAAGAAGAGGTCAGGCTGCCAATCTCGGGTTAAAGAATACGATAGTCGCAGGTGATGAGAAGAAAGCGACGCCGTCGTTTTTGCGGAGCGGCAGCTTCTGGGTCTTGATGTCCTGCTTGGCCGTTTTTGCGGTGCTGCTAGGAGTCCGCTTTATGGACCAAGCAGAGCAACAAAACTGCCTTGCAATGGTGGTATTCGTGTCTTTACTATGGGCTACAGAGGCGATCCCTCTTTTCGTGACTTCGATGCTCGTCCCCCTTCTCGTGGTTTTACTGCGGGTTGTGCGGGTAGATGACGAACGACTGGACAGCAAAGCAACGGCGTCGTTTATATTTGGTGCCATGTGGACGCCTGTAATGATGCTTCTGCTGGGAGGCTTCACCATTGCTGCCGCACTCAGCAAGTACAATATCGCCAAGATGCTGGCCACATTCGTCCTATCCAAAGCCGGCACTCGACCTGCAGCTGTGCTACTTACAAGCATGGGCGTGGCGCTATTTGCCAGTATGTGGATTAGCAATGTTGCGGCACCTGTGCTCTGTTTCTCCCTCATTCAGCCTCTTCTGCGGAATCTGCCTCCGGAAAGTGACATGGCGAAGGCCCTCCTGATGGGTATCGCTCTGGCTTCCAACATTGGAGGCGCCGCATCCCCCATCGCTTCACCTCAAAACTTAATCGCACTGGAGAACATGGATCCGCAACCCGGCTGGGGTATCTGGTTCTTCATCGCCCTACCGGTATGTCTCCTCAGCATCCTCATAGTCTGGCTCCTCCTCCTCGTCACCTTCCGCCCCAGCCGCGGAGGCACAAGCCTCGTCGCCATTCGACCCATGCGCGACCCCTTTACACCCCTCCAATGGTTTATCTCCGCCGTCACAATCCTGACAATCATCCTCTGGTGCCTAACCCACCGCCTCGAAGGCATCTTTGGCGACATGGGCGTCATAGCCATCGTTCCCATCGGAATCTTCTTCGGCAGCGGGATCCTCACCAAAGAAGATTTCAACAACTTCCTCTGGACAATCATCATGCTCGCCGGTGGTGGTCTCGCACTAGGCAAAGCCGTCGCCTCATCCGGACTCCTCACAGCCCTCGCATCAACACTTATAAAGCACACCTCTAACCTCCCTCTCTACGCAACCGTCTCCCTCTTCGCAGCCATAACCCTCATAACCGCAACTTTCATCTCCCACACCGTTTCCGCCCTAATCCTCCTTCCCCTGGTCCGCGAAATCGGAGCGGGGATGAATACCCCTCACCCGAATTTATTGGTCATGACATGCGCGATTATATCAAGCGCCGCGATGGGGCTTCCGACGAGTGGGTTCCCGAATATGTGTGCTGTTATGATGGAGGACGGGCAGGGGAGGAGATACCTCTCCGTGAGACATTTTTTGACGAGGGGGGTACCTGCTTCGCTGGGTGTGTATGCGGTCACGCTGTCGGTGGGTTACGGGGTTATGCTTGTTGTGGGGTTTTGAGGGGTATGTATGTTATGGTAGAGGTAATGTGAGCTTGATCGTGGGTTTCAATGTGTCTGGCTGGCTCTGCCCTGGACAGCTCCGATCCGTTGCGAGGTCGACTATCAGGACTGATTATGGAGGGGGGAGGTGTCCCGGCGCTCCGCTGCGCGTATGCAATCGCTTTCGGTGGGATACTTAATGTTCACATCTCTTGTGTCAATGATGCCACGCATCCCCTGTTCTTACCCAGGCAGTTCCCGGAACTGGAATTACTCTTCTGGGGAAAATGTGACCGAAAGGGAAAGGAAGACATTTTCATCAAACTTTTGATGGAAGGGATATGTCACGAGAGCGGTGTCGTGATGGGTATGCACAGAGATCCCCTTCGCTTATGATCAACGCCATAGAATGAAGGTCATTGTAATCGTTCAACTGTCGTGGACACTGTAAAACTGCAGGAGTTAGCATCATGGCAGGAATCCCGAGAGGTAGACTCTCGCGAGGAGTGATTGGTTGATTGAGACGTTCATGAGAAGTCAAAATAACACTCCGTGCGTTGGCATGCAAGGATCTCTATAGGAAGATTTTCCGTTGGGAGATTGATAGTGGCTTCCTGCTCGCCTGTTTTATCACGTCGGGTTAGAGGTTGGTTCGCGTGTTGGATGGGTATATGGAGGATTGGGATTGTGAAAAATTATGGGTGAGAGTCGATGAGGTTTCAAGGGGAGAGTTGCTCCCAAAGGTCTGGGTCATCTTTTCGGAGAGTTGAATTGGTGAGAACATCTCTTGTTGGAGCTGAAATTTGGACCGAAATGTGACTGCAGAATGAATTTGAGATGTCTACTGAGTCTTTGGCAAGCTTTGGGGTTGTTTTACTCTTTTGAAGGCGGGTTGTTCAGATTAGGGGTATTCAGCTTCTCCATCCTTCGGATTCCCGACGAGTTAGCGGGGGGCAATTCGGTGGGCACAGTGTGTAATCATGCAATTTGGTGGGTAAAGTGTGTACAATTATTTAGGTTCGTATGAGGCTTCGTGGACCAGTAATGGCTACTTATCCTCGGCTGGATGGAAGAGGAGATTTGAATTGGAAAAGGATAGGTTAGGATGGCAGATGTTCTTTGGCAGAAGATAATGGAGGATCATTGAAAAAGGACAGGGCATGTGAATTTGGGAATCGCTAGTCAGGACGGTTGCACTGTCTACTGGTCTCTGGAATTCAGTACATCATGGTGGAGCTTATGATACTTACGTGGGAGGACCTCGATTATCGGAATTAGGTACGTACAGACCAACGTAGATGGTTCTAAGCATCTAAGGCTCAATATTCTAAAGATACCATGTATGGAAGACATGATTTCGCGTGGGAGATAGATATCCTTGGCAATACGTTTTCTGTGGAAGAGTCTGATGTCTTCGCCCAAGACCGTGCAAGCGGCAGAAAACTAGAACCATAGGTCGAGAGTATTTGTCAAAGGCTATAGCGTCTGCGGTCTGTGTGGATGGCACTAGCCCGCAAGATCACTGTTCCTCGCAGAAGAACTTTTCCCTAGAGAAGATAAATGAAGCCACCAGTTCACAAGGGGCCGGCCCAGTAGGCACTTATTTGCTCGTGTATGCTTCCTCCCATACATGTGTAGGAAACATCACTCTGTAACCTTATACATCTCTCACATATCCGTTGCAGGGTAAGAAACGATAGGTTTAGATCTATGGGAGTCCATTTAGTGTTCTTGCCTTGGCACACTCAACATAAATCCAGCCATTTCAGGGTATATGTGCCTACTACATCAGTGGAGGGGTCATCTGGTCCTCTAGGGCCTCACTAGGTCGACGTTCCAAATTATCATCGTGAAGCAGCTTGAGGTATTAAATTTCAACTTCCATAACCTAGTGCATTAACTGGCCTCGGTGTATTTCTGCATCGTATTCTTGTATTAATATTGGCCGCGTTTCCAGCAGAATGATTTATATCATCGCCCACCTGAATTCTTACCGAAACATTTTTTTACAGGCATTTTGAACAGGCCGTGAACCATTTTCTCCTCATCAACATCATCACCCACTTGTTCATACTCATTTCTTCAGACATCATCACCACACTGAGCCCATCCAGAGAAGCAGATCATATTCAGATCTGCGATTTTATTAGCCCTGGTACAACCGGTCAGCATCCATCCCACAATAGAAATTTTATAAAAGGCAATTTCATTCAACCCATGACCCCACTGATGCTCATGTAGAGGACGCAGTCCTCCCCATGTGCCATAAAGATCAGACTCTGGAGTATCCTCCCGGTAACAGACAAAAATTAACCATCCTCGACTTGGAACACGGAAAGAGGATCTAATGCAGAACGCGACCAATTGAAAACACTGTGCAATTGCCAGAGTACAATGTCATAAATCGAGAAAAATAAAACATCATTGTCATGTGCAGGAACCACAGAGATGGTTATAGTTCTGAGACATCATCAAACCGCAACCCACGACGTAGTGTACACTTTCCATCTGCACCTCCCAACAACACCGTTAGTGAACCTACTTCCATTCCAAGACATTTTTTTCTTCTCAGCGGTATGATTCACGCACACCATGTGTATTGATACTTCTTCAGGCGTCATATATGTCAGAAGCCCTTATAGCTCAGTTGGTAGAGCGCGGCACTAGTAAGGTTTAGTGTAGTGCTCCAGCAATGCCGAGGTCTACGGTTCGACTCCGTATGGGGGCAGACGTCTTCTCTTTTTTTGCTCATTCTCTTCAACCTCACCTACATTACTTCCCTTAGTCATGTAAAAGGGCGAAGGGGGATTATCCCGTCAAGGCAGACTGCTTCCAGCTTACGATTCAGTATACATCTCTACAGCATTATGTCATTACAAACTCGTCAACCCAGCAACGAGAGCAAGCAAAGCCAAATGCTCATCACTACCGTCGACGAGCATCTTATCCGTTTCAGAGAACAAAGCAAGGGCAGGGGCGGACATTTTTCCTTCCAAGATCAAGCGGTCGTACAACTGCGCGATTACCTGACCGGCTGGCCATCCCTCGCAGATGATATCCTCGACAAGGGCTGAGATGCGTTTGAATTGGACGTTTTTGGTTAAAAGGCTGATGATTGTTTCGATTGTGTCTCCTGGTACGACACCGGCGATTTCTTCGATTGTGGAAGAGGTTATTTTCCCTCCTGAGCGGGAGGCGCTTTGGAGGAAGGTGATTGCTTTGCGGAGATCGCCGTCGGAGCAGCGAAGGAGGGTTTGTATTGCGTCGGAATCGATGGAAAGGTTTTCGAGTTTGGATATCTCCTGGAGACGGGCACCGGCGTGGGATGAGTTGAGGAGCTTGAAGCGGAATTTGGAACAGCGGCTGGCGAGGGGGTCAATGATGCGCGTGGCGTAGTTGCAAATCAGACAGAAGCGTGTCGTACGGCTATATGTCTCCATTGTTCGTCGCAGAGCCGACTGTGCGTCCTGGGTCATACTGTCGGCCTCATCCAGGATGATCAGCTTGTAGGGCGGCACCGGGTAGTCCTTGGACACCAAGCCGTCCGCGTTGGACAGCCGCATGCGTGCAAAGTCCTTTACTTTTTCCCGCACGATTGAAATGCCGCGCTCGTCTGATGCGTTCAGCTCCAGAACGCGTGATCGCATTAGCGTCTGGCCAAAGAGTTGTCGCGCGAGCGCCAGGATCGTCGACGTTTTGCCTGTCCCCGGCGGACCGTAGAACAGCATGTGTGGCAGGTTGGCGCTCTGCAACGTGCGTCGGAGGACTGTAACCGTGTGCTCTTGTGCTGCGACTTCTTCCAGCGATCGTGGCCGGTATTTTTCCACCCATGGCTGCAGTCCTGCGTCTGTTGGAGCTACCGCTTTAGACGAGCTTGCAGCTGCCACCGCCGCCTCTGCCTTTCGTGCCCGTATATCGAAAAAGTTTGCCATTGTGTCTTGCGCGACGCGCGACGCGATCAGTAATGGTTTGTAGTGTTAGGCTTACGACTGCCTAATGGGGAAGGTGCAGTTTTGACAACACCACCGATGTTCCCAGATGTAAAAACTCAGTGTACGCTGAAAATGATACTTTCATTTGCTAAACATTACAACTACTGTGGCCTGTTCGCTTCAAGCTCCGCTGGCGTAACTTCGCTTCTCCTTCTTATCCTCAGACGGAATCGTCTCCATCGGCTTTCTCCCGTGGATTCCTCCTGTCTGGTCGTTGTCTGCTCTTCCCCAGGATTACCGAAAGGAAGTGCGTGACTCATTAACAGTCTCTGTCGGAAAAAGTTGCCGGAGCGTGCTGCCCACGGGGTGTTTCGAGAGATATTCTGTATCCTTCTGGTAGACTGTGCATCATCGCCATCTGCACGCGGCGTGGGAGTGTGATAGTCCGCCTTGCACAGTGGACAGCACGCCCGACGACCGGTGAGCCATGGATCGACGCAGGCTCCGTGAAATGCATGGCCACATGTTAATCCTCGCACATCGTCATCGTCCTCAAGGGTATCGAGGCAGATAGCGCAAGCATCGCCTGGGGAATCGAGTAGTTGTTGTGGGGCTTCTCCCACAATGTCGTCGTCGTCGTCGCCTTCTTCCTCCCCCTCTCTGTGGTGAATTTCGGAGTCAGCCGGTATTTGTGCAGGCTTTTCGTGTGTTATGCTTTCGGAGCGTCTTTGACTGGTAGCAGCGTTGGTGTTTGCAAGGTCGCCGTCGTCCAGTGGGATAGATTCATACTTCTCAGCACCTGCCACAACGCTCTGCTCAGCCCCGGCCGCTGATGGTCGTGCCGCATCTGTGATGTCGCGTTCCTCGGTCGACCTTTGTTCAGCACTAGCGAGTTCCATGGCCGAGTCTTTTGGTTGCCTTCCCATCTCGGTACCATCATGTGAAGGGACGGCCATTAAACCATCGCTTTGAGACGCCTCTGCATTGACGCCACCATGAGCCGGCAGCCCTTGGGCTTCTCTGGTGGCACGCCAGGTCTTTAGTTTGGTTAAGGGAAAGCGTCGGTTGACCTCGTCCATTGTCATGAGTTTCTTCTCCCGCCGCCGTCTGCGAGGGCGCTGCATGGACCCGAGATCGATCGGTTCCCCATTCTGATCCAATATGCGCGCCTGACGATTGCGCTGATTGAAGCGGAAACAGTACTTTACCCCCACAATGATCCTACAGCTGTCAGAGCGTGTCCTGTCGCACGTCAGTCAAACTTACCAAAGGTTGGTGAAGACGACGCCAAACCCGAGCGCGACAAAGAACAGCAGCGGAGAACTTGTCGGTCCGCTGCCGTTCCGGCCAGGTGCATGGTCGGTCGCCGTGGGAGTAGCAGCTAACGTTGTTGTTGTTGTTGTTGCCATTGCGAGTGACAGGTCCCCACAGGCTGTAAATAGCCCCAAGGTGCGGGGGGGCTTGACGTACACCTGTGGCGGTGGCCACGTCAAGCTTATCGCACAGTCAGTCAGACGAAACTTTTCTGATTACGGCAGCAATGGAAAGAGTAAAACGACGGCGCACATGAAACAGGCTGAGCGGGAGCCCGAGCGCAGGCGCGGGCGGTGAGGGGCAACGTCCACCGCCCTTCAAATGTCATCAGCCCGTCTGGGCATTGCGGGGTCTGACTTCCGAGCGGCGCTAACGGAAATCTTTTGGCGCTAGCCCTATACTGGCCCATGTTGGGCTGGTTGTGTGACCATCATCCCTGGTTCCGATGATCCAATCGCTGAACGAGGCAACCACACTTAGTTCGGGTATGCGACGCACGCCTTATATACATGACAAACTCCTTCGCTCTTGCCAAACTCCGTCGCTTTTCCATCGTTAATCGCAAAACCGCTTGCTAAACTCGTCAAATATCTTAGGTGTAATGTCGTCCGAGCAATTTCCCTGTACCTTCCAGAGGACTCCCAGTCTGTCGTAATACTCCAGTAGAGGCGTAACATTTTCCTCGAAGCTGTGCAATCGCGCTTTCCAAACCTCGGGCCGATCGTCGTCTCGCTGTGTCAAGGGCTCTCCGGTTATGTCATCACGACCGGGCACCTGCGGTGCGTTGAAGGTAGTATTATATACCCGTCCAGAAGGAGCATGGATCCAACGATTGCAAATACGGTCAATGATGATATCTGGCGGTGTGTGAATATGAAAAACCATATTGATCGGCAACATCTCGGCGAGTTTCTTTGCTTGACAGACGGTACGCGGGAAGCCATCCAGGATAAAAGATGCTTCGGGTGCCTCAGAATACGTGTGCTCAGTGTCATCCGTAGGCGGCATAGTAAATAGATCAGCTGCAACGGTATCAAAGCCCACTGCAGCAGAGTTCAATGTAAACGGGCGGGGCTCTTCTGTAGGGACCAGCCAGCCACGAGTAGTAAGCGCATTGCGAATAAGTCGCAGAATCACGGTATCAGGCACTAGTCCGCCAGTGGACATGATGCGCTCTGCCTGGATTCCTAACCAACCATCAGAGGCAACGAGGCGCATGGTCAAAAGACTTACCCAGCGGAGTTCGCAGCCGTACGTTCTCCCGCAATAAATCTCCCGAACTTATTGAAGATAGCTGTGGGTATTTTCTGAGCATTCTCTCCGTCTGGGTCCCCTTGCCGACGCCTGGAGCGCCGAACAAGCAGACACGAGCCGCTCTGCGTATAGGCATGGTTGGAAGAAGCGAAAGAAACCAACGATTATTATATAAAACAGTACAGAGTCACGGAACGAGTCAGGCCATCTCGTTCGGCCGAAAGGGAATCGGATTATCTCAACCTGAGGTTCTCTGATCGCAGGCTGGGACTTCCCCGCTTTGCCCGGTCCTGCTGATAATTACGTCATGTGACAATTAGCCCCCTTGGCAACACCAGTACTTTGGCTGCAAAATCATCTGATAATGTGGGCAAATCGAACGGCGCGTCTGGCGCCTGTACTGCGCCGTGGAGGTCGCCTGCCTCCGAATAGGTTACTGGCCGTCGCGCTGCTTCTCCCGCGCCTGGTGTCGACCGAAACCTCGTCGCGCACCGCTGACCAGCCGCCTCCGGGCTTCAACCTCCGCGAAGCTCAGCGGAAACCGAACGAGAACGCGACGGAGACGGCGAATAAGGCTGAGATCAAAATTTCCAGCGATGAGCCAACCAGCCATGCGCCAACTGATGCCGTGGTTGCGCGATCGGTCAGCGAGAGGGCAGCAGAGCCGGCCATACAGGTAGTCGAGGCCAAAGATGACAAGAAGAAAACGCTATGGCAGAAGATTAAACACGAGGCGCAGCACTACTGGGATGGCACAAAGCTGCTGGCGACCGAAGTGCGCATATCCAGCCGTCTGGCGCTCAAGATGGCGGCCGGCTATGAGTTGACCAGACGTGAGCACCGACAGCTACACCGTACAGTACAAGATCTTGGGCGGTTGGTGCCATTCTCGGTGTTTGTCATCGTCCCCTTTGCAGAATTGCTGCTGCCAGTGGCCTTGAAGCTGTTCCCCAATATGTTGCCCAGCACATACGAGGACGCTAAGAGCAAAGAGAACAAGGCCAAGCGACTGCGGAGCTCGCGCCGCGAAGTGTCCAGCTTCCTGCGCCAGACCCTGCGAGAGAGCGGACTGCCGGTCAGCGCCGCCAACGCCCAAAAAGAAGAATTCACAGAATTTTTCCGCAAAGTTCGGGCCACAGGGGAGAGCCCCAGCAAAGCGGATATCATCAAAATGTGCAAATTGTTTAAGGATGATCTCACGCTGGATAACCTGAGCCGGCCGCAGCTG